TTTAGAATAAGCAGGAGAAAGAAACTCATACAGGTGTGGAATGATGGTGACAGAATTTTGATTTCTGGGTGAACTATCCCTTTAATTTACTTATTTATTTAATGGCTCTTAATTTATTAATGTATGTGTATGTATTAAGTAATGAATAAGTTAACCTGTTGTGAGAATGAATGGAGTAAAGGTGAAAGTAACATTTCAGTTAAAGTACTGAGCAATGAAGCTCCTCTAATCAAACAGCAGCCACATCCTGATGCTGTGTTATTACACACAGAACCAGCCAGCAACGACAGCGGCGTGCGTGAGGACTGTGCAACATCACACACACTCTGATTTCCTCTGGCGTTCTTGATATGCTTGTGCAACGTAAGTGAGCACAGTTTTCCACCATTTTCAGCATGTGAGCGTGTGCTTCTTCCTGCCAGGACCATGAGGCGTCTGCACTTTCAAACACACAGGAAGTGAAGGTACTAGTAGGTGGGTGGTGACTGACGTCAATGAGGCTAAGAGGCCTCTGAAACAGGAACCAAAACATCCCACAATCCTTTGCCCCCCTCCTCGCAACTCTCAGCTCAGTAGATCAGTGGCTATTTACACCTGGAGCGCGCGCACACACACACACACACACACACACACACACAGCTCACAAGCAAACACCTGCAGGCGGGTCAAAGACAAAGAGGGGTTTTCAAGCATCAAAACAAAAAAAACAAGAGTTTCATAAAGATTTAATTTTTTCCCCCTGTGTACAGAATGTATCCCATTTAATTGTAAATCTTTACCAATCTCTGCCACTACCCTTCAAAAACAGTTTTACCCAGTTGTCAGCAATAAGTTTTTTAATCATGTAAAATATAATAAAATTTAGCATGATCATTTTTTTCTCTTATATATAATAAGTACAGGTCAGAATAAATATGTTGTTTCATTTTTACATAAATATATCTGTGACACTGGAGCATTATTTAACCCATATTTTAACATTTTATTTTCACAGAAGTAATTAAAGTAAAAGTACACAGTTAAATTGCATTTCATTTGCTTTATTTATATAAAATCACTTTTGTAAAATTGTTTGTCTAAACAAGTCTCGTCTTTGACCCAGGCACATTTACTACACTCTCAACATAAACTAAAAAAAAAAACACTCACGAAAACATGTCTAGGCCACATTTTACCCCAAATATTAAAAGAAAGAAGAAATTTTTTTGAATTTTGACATTATTTTCATGACAATTAAACACATTTTGCTCCAATTTCTACTCGCTATATGAGAATGTTTTTTTCCTTTCTTTTGAGTTGTTACAGTAATTTCCATTATTCTCAATTTGATTAAATTCTCATTTGATTCAGGTTAATTTTTTTTTATTATAAGTTTACATGTACAAATACTACCATTATGTATAAATACACTATCATGATGAACAGCTGGAACGGAATCAATCTGTTCCTTTTTTCAATTCCAGTGAAATGACAAAATAAAATGGCATCAAATTTGATGACATTATTCTCAGAAAATAATTTAATCATTAGAAGTATCAACTAACAGGGAATGTAATGCTGCTTTATTGTTCTCAGAATGATTTCAAAATGATATTATGGAATGTTCCTCTAACCTAGTAGTAACGTTCATATTACATTTAAAAAAACGGGATGTTTTGAATGTTTAAAAAACATTCTAACATCTAAAAATGAGATATAGCGTTTTCCTAACAATTTAAATAAATAAATAAATAAATCTTGAAAAATAAAAAACAGGTGTTTTAACTGTCGAGAGGACATTTCAATGTATTGTTTTCACAACGTTTTCAAATGATAGAATAAAATATCCCTTTAACCCTCACATAACCAAAAAGTAACCTTGTATTAAACACTAAAAAACATTCAGAAATAATGTTTTCATAACTTAACGGGAATGTTAGCAAAACATTCTCAGAACATATTTTTATCAGCTGTGATGCAGTAGAAAATGTTGGGATTGTTTATTAAAATTCCATACCGTATATGTGTGTGTTTGATCATTTATGTTTTTTTTCTCTCTTGTAAATAAAAAGTATACACCTCTTTAACCCTTGAACAACATCTAAATTATTTAAAAGAAGTGAATTATTCTAATTCATGTATACATTTTAAATAATATACCTAGTATTAAAATTATACTAATATTAAAATATCTAATATATATAATTTAATATTTTTTTCTTTTGATTTTAGGGTGAAATATGACCTGGACTCATGACAGATTTAACGAGCTTCGCCTACTTGTAAACTCTCACACAAACCTCTGAACACTTTCATGAATTTTATTAACAGAGCTGTGGCGCACACAATCCAGCTCTTTTTATGTATGCACGCTTACGCAAGCATGACTATTCACACCCGCACAAACGCACACACAATAAACACAGCTTGTTATATGCGTCGCTGGGCTGCATTTACGCACATTGCGTCTCTGTGGTTTGTGTGTGTGCAAGAGGGCATACAAACATGTTATCTTACTCAAACTTTCATTCTTCCCCCTCCACCCACACTCACACCCTCATTTCTCTTCTTCAGAGACGCTGGGATTTTCAGGCCGCTCAGATGGAGAGAGTTGCAGTGGCCATCGTACAAACAGTGCTGAGGAGTCTTTAAAACACGCACAAGAGCCCAACAACACATGCTGCTTCGTTTCACAAAGAACAAGAACATGCTGGCTCATATTGCACCCCAAAATTAAAAAGGAGATAAATCAGAAATGATATTTTACATTATGAAAATTATGCTTACAAAAATATAATTAATGACAGTAATATATTGTTTACATTTTTTTTTTTTTGCATCCCATGAATTACTTTTGCATATCATTTGCTTTGTTGCAAAATAGGCACTTTTTGTAACATTGTTACAATGTTGCATTTTCTTCTTGATTCAGTTTGCTCTTACAAGGCAACGTTTCAAAGTGCACCAAAATGCGTTTATGCAAGTCACATGTGAGCAAATCTGTCCTCTTATTGATCCGAGTGCATAAACCTAACTGAAAATGTCCTGGCAGAAAATGACCTTTTCAGTTTTTTTCTGCATGTTGTTAAGAAAATGAATGTACAAGAAATGCACAAGGTTCTGAAACAAAAGCTCTAATGAGCCAGGAGTGAAAACACTCTACCATCTATATGCTAAACACGATGACAAACTGAACTGGAAGTGACTCATCTTTGCAGTCACAAGCATACCAAATTTGAAGTCCAGTAGAATTGTACAATAGAATCAGAACGCTCCTACTCCTAAAACCAGCTACTTCTGGTTAGTAATAACAGCTTGCAAATCATGCTCTGTGGCTGTATTGTATTGTATAAAGCGCTATACAAATGAAGGCTGTGACATAAATTGGCCATTTAAATGTAGGCATTCGGGAGAACAAGGAAAATTCCCAGTGGGCTACTCATAAATTTGTCCAGTAGCAGTGTTTGCGACAAGAAGCTATTTTTAGCAATACACACTCTAAAAAATGCTGGGTTAAAAAGGGACAAACCCAGCTATTGGGTTGTTTTGACCCAACCGCTGGGTCAAAACAACCCAATAGCTGGGTTTGTCCCTTTTTAACCCAGCGCTGGGTTTTATTTAACCCAGCATTTTTTAGAGTGCATATTTGCAATAAAAAAAAAAACTACTGTCATCTGTAACGTTATATTCTAAAATATTCTGAGATCATCATCATCCTCTGAATGTTCTCATATAGGGAACTTGTATGGCTTAATATAATGTAAATGATTTCTCTTACTGAAATATGTAGTAGAATTTACATTATTTAAAAAATCCACATAGTTTTGTACATATTTTGGACTATGGGTGGCGCCATTGTTTCGATGACGTCAAACACAACTTGGAAAACACAGCTCGGAAAATAAAATACTGATTCAATGGTAGTGCCAGTGGCTCACTGAGTGCAACCATTTGACGTCATCGAAATAATGGCGCCCCCCATAGTCCAAAATATGTATAAAACGATGTGGATTTTAAAAATAATGTAAATCAAAAAATTGTTCCTGAATGATCTACGAAACGTTTTTGTAACGTTTAAGTAACGTTCTAATCACGACCAAAAACTGGAAATTTTAAACGTTCTTTGAATGTTAATTAAAAATAAACATTCAAATAACGTTATATTTTGGGTGAATATAAAGTTAGTAGAATGTTGTAAGAAACGTTTTTGCAACCTTTAAATAACATTTTGTTCCCACAATGCTTTTATAACCTAAATTTGTTTGATGAATGTTGCTTAAGAAGTTCAGTATGTAATTTGTTATTTATTTGTATATTCTTGTTGAAATGTTGAGTTAAAAATGCGGCTGGTCTTGGGCTGAAGATAGGCCCCAATCCAGCCATGTTCAAATGTATATATTTATTCATTTATTGGGTCCTTTGATATGTCCCACCCTAACAATGGAAAGAATCCTGAGCTTGTTAACTAAATACTGACTTTAATAATAATTTATATATAATATAATATAT